CTACCTACTACCTACTACCTACTACTACCTACTACCTACTACTACCTTCTACCTACTACTACCTACTACCTACTACTACCTACTACCTACTACCTACTACCTACTACCGACGACGGCTGCGACTACGATGGCTCCCTGAGCCGATAATTCAGGGGGACCTCATGAGTGGTATCTCATACCTTCTTGACCTTGTTGACCTATCATGTGGGGGGGGGGAAGATTAATCCGGGGTTAACATTAATAGTATAACAAAGACCAATTAAAGAAATGGCTGTTGACGGCTGTTGGAATTCCAGGGTATCGTGTGTTTGTTGAACAGCAGGAAAAACCGTTTGGCCGAATGTATCGTTTGCACATCAGGCCCTTGCCAAGTAATCTTGGTACCAGCGATGGCCTCCAACCAGCGATGGCTTCCAACCTACTAGCGATGGCCTCCAACCTAGTAGCGATGTTCGCCCCAGGAAATCTTGGTTCAATTTTGGCGCGTGTTTGAAACCCTGCAAGGCCAAGAGGGCAGAGATACCCCAAATCCCTGTGTAGTTCCTCCACGCAGAGCGGACTTATGAGAAGGATTGCTAGAGAATTGGATGCCTATAAGGCAGAGAGGAGCATCGATCGCGGATGAAGATAAGCTGGGAGGCGTGAGCATCGTCATGGGAAGTGCCTGAAAACTTGAAAAGTTTCAGTGAAGGAAAAGGCTCGATGAATTTGAGATACAAGGGTTCTGATATATCGGTTTCATGTAGCTGTGGAAACTTCATGGATGGTGGTACTTTGTCATCTTTGACATCGTCATCAGAATTCGTAGTCAAAGTCTTCGAGCTGAAAGTTGCCTTGCTCTTCGGTGGATCTGACCGAGTCCTTTTCTAAGTCGATTTGAACACAACAAACCTTTTGACGCAATGTTCGACTTTCATCAAAAAAGAGGACTCACTATCGCAAAAATGTGTGCGTGCCAGGCAGCGCGCGTTCAACCGAGGTCGAAAAAAGGTTGAGCCGTTTCTGAGCAAACCAAACGCTTTAGTTGGCGATTGGCCAATGAGATTGGCGGGGAATATGGATTTGTCTTAGATTTCAGAATGGGCAGGCGAGGTGGGGCTTCGGAGTGGCTTTTTGGGAGGCTTCTTCGGAGTGGCGGAGGGAGTAAGAAGCTTGAGGCCCCCAATGATCCACAAAAGGGCGCAAGTGAGGTCTTGAAGCCCCGTTCGTAGCGTCTGATCGCTCCTAGTAGCGATGCCAGGAGCCCCTAGTAGCGACGCCCTTGTTCCTAGTAGCCTCCAAATCCAAGTGGTCCAAAGGATATACAAAATCTCCAAAGCTTGCGACCTGGAAAAGCATGAAGCATCGACTCTGACATGTGTCCTGCATCCAAGGCTCAATGGGTGAACTTATGCCATGAATGCGATTCATGAAGCCTTGCCAAACCATCTAAGCATTCTAAGCCGGGCTTGACCGATTTAAGGTTCTGACGGTGTCGACAGGTAGTGTTTTATGCCAAAAATTAATGAACTCACCTCTTCGAAGGCATGCGGCCAATGAGACTTATTGGAAGTGGCTTTCTATATCAGAGTATCAGCGTCACATGGCATCCGCACTCTAGAAGCATATACTAAGGGCATTGCCAGCAAGAAGCTCGGCCCAAGAAGCTACGAACGTAGCTAAGTGCAAAACCACTCGGCCACGCGAAGCCAACGCGGTGCTTACACCGTGCGACCGCGCGCTCTCCCGCGGGGCCGGAGACCGCCCCGGCGGTCTCGGTCTCGCGCGCCATGACGGGGACGCCGGGGAGGAGCACCGGCGATGCCTTTGTTTAAGCTTTTTCGCTCCAAGCCTCTTGGATCCAAAAAGATTCGCACCATTCATAGGGTTTCCCAGTGGGTTTCCCATGAAGTAGTCCGATGTCCAATGACAAGTTTGAGAATGGACAGACATCAAAGCTCTTCACGACGCCACACGTGTTTCCACAGTTAGCTTTCATAGCATAAATGCCTGCAATCTATATTAAAGCGTTCCACGCAACTCTCCACGTCCGACCTTGAGTGGAACAAGAATCTAGTAGAACGAAAAAAGCAAAACACTTCCCTTTCAGACCTTCATTTGCACCAAACACCCAAACCCCAACCTGGGACCCACCTGCTTTAGGTTTCTGCTTTTCCAGGCCGTCCGAGTCTCCGGCGCCGGCGCCTCCTGCCCAGCCGGCTGGCCGCCGGCGCCCGGCGCCCTCACAGGCAGCGCCGGCACGAGCAGCACCGGCAGCGACACAGGCGGTGCCCCAAGCGACACAAGTGGCCGGCATCCCGGTGCAGGCTGGTTTCCCGAAGTTGGGAGTAACGATGTTGGGTGATTTGTGTTTCAGCAAACTAGAGGGGCTGGAGATGGCTGGATGTTTGAATCCGTTCTTTTGCTTGGTGACACTCTGTGTTTGATCATGTTTGACATTACATGTTGCTTAGGTCTTGGTGAGAAGAGAGGCCCTGCAGACGTCTTAAAATTTAATGTTAGGATTCAGGATCCAGTGTTGAAGACCTTCCCATGAATTTTAATTGTAATGAACCTCATCCACAGCACAGCTCGTCAACCCACCGCTCTGACTTCCGGATCGCGATCTGCGAGGCGCCTCCAACAGTGCCACAAGTCACCGTCCAGCATGTACAGCAGCAGCTGGGTTCAGTGAGAGAAGATTTGATCCAACCGATCCGCGAGGCAGGGAAGATGTTGGAAATCCAGCAGTGTTGCTCGACTTGCCTGAGCCAGAAATGACCACTTGGGAGACTGAAGAGTATTGTTTGGAGGTGCTATAGAATCAGAAAGGCCTACAGCTTTCAAAATGAGTTGGTGTTTTTTCCGTGGCCGCCTCACGTGAGAGGTTTTGGACAATGCCTTCTCCGAAGACATGTCAAACATTCTGGACATGCTGATCAATGAAGCCTCCACTGGTATGGCACAGCTGCAGCAGCAGGTGTGAGAAAGGGGGATGGGGACGTGAGCTGTCAAGCGTGTGGGCAATCCATGCAACTGACAAGTCTGGAAAGCGCTGATCTTCAGAGATTGAGCAACATCCCCCCTCGCAAAATGTGGACCACATTGTGTTAGCTCGCGCAAACGAACTGTCAGGTTGAGATCCATACCGCCCAAGCCAGCTTGTTCTTCTTTGCGGGGACGTTGACCCTTCACTGAAACGTGCCTGTTTCAGGTGGAAGTTTGCATCATGGAAGAGCGCTTTGATGTGTTGGAGGAGCTGTTTGTGTCATGATACGCTCCCAACATTGCTTGTAGGGGGCCATCGCTAGTAGGGAGGCCGAAGCTAGCTACAAGTAAATTGGACCGTCCGAGACGTAGTTAACTTCAGTCCAGGTGTGGGTTTTCTGACTGTATGGTATGTATTGCATCAAGTGTAGTACCCAGAGGGGGGCCTTGGTGAGAAAGGGGCCTTCGTGCAGGAGATCAGTACTTTGGCATCCCAGTTCCAAGAACTGCAGCAGGCGGCGGAGCGATGGAAAGCCGGTGAAGCCAGTTGCTTGGCTTGTCGACCGTCGGCCATGGCTCAGAGTTCGTTCGATTCCTGAGTTCGGAATACCAATGAATACCAAGTAGCTTCTTGTTACTACTAGTAAGGCACTTGTTACTAGTAGCGATGCACTTGTTACCAATGAATACCAATTACTGTAAATATGGGTGGTGTTTTACTGTGTTTTTGGCATTCTATATACTGTTTAAACTCATTCGACAAAATGAGTTTTGTTTCACATGACCCCGTGGAGTCGCCCGAGTTGGAATACATCGGTGTTGGAATATATCTCGGTTCTGGTTCTTTACAAAGGCATGGAACGATTTCTAGATGGGACCTCAGTTCTATTTTTTGATTTCTAGAGCTGAGCGAACGGTTGATAAGGGATTGTTGGTGGAATCCGTATTTACGCGACTGTCAGAGGTGAAATTGTGGGATGTGTAATAGACGGACTAGTGCGAAAAGCATTTTGCCAAGGATATGTTCATTGATCAAGAACGAACGTTTATGCACAATCACATGCTGCTCAGGCTGCCCCCCTTGCTAATTGTTGCGCAACAATTGCATGAGTCCCAACACTTCCAAACATAATCAGCCTTCAAACGTAATTTGATTGTATTCCGACCAGTGTCATTTTGGACGATTCACATTATTAACAACACAGACCATGCGAGGCAACATGTTTTTGGAGATGATCCGCGCAATCGTTTCATGGGAGGCTGTTTAAAGTGGACTTGTGCAAATACCATAAATGGTCAAGGCCCCGGTTGTGAATTGGGTCAACTAAGGTAGTGCCGGTATTTCACTCTCGCAGATGACTGCTGAGCAGCAGGAGGCAACTTTGGATTTTGAGTGATTGATGACATCGAGATAGGTTCCCTAGGGTTGTTTGCATGCCTGGCATCTACTATCCACCGACCACTCAGCAGATCATGGTGTAAGATGGACTTGGGAGGGGTTCAACGTGTCGTAGACCGTGATTTTTCTCTGGGAGGAGGCACAGGAAGCCTGGCTCCGCGAGGACGCAAGCTGCATGGACACGCTTGGTGATGCCTTTGATTGCGTGGTCTAGTGGCACTCTTTGAGGCAATGCTTCTATGGTCAAAGAGTTTTATAGCTAGCTGTAGGATGGAAGATTGTGTGCAAATATTGACAGGATATGACCAGGCGTATCATGCAGGAAATGAGTCCTGCTGCCGACACAATTTGACTGACTTCAAGCCAAATTGTGCATGCAAACCCTTTTTTGAAAAGGAACACCAAGCATGCTGCTGAAGTTTCCATGTTTTTTTCCTGTGAGCATTGATTCACAGGAGGAGGAGAGACGTCGCCAAGACGAAGCTCGTTTTCGCGAGCAGGAGGACATATCTCTTGGACACACCTCGTGTGGCTATTTCCACCACACCAAAATGAGCATGGTCTGTGAGTCTCTCCCTGGGTGGTGGAAATCCATTGATGCCCTTAGAGGTTCCCCTCAATGTCAGGCCCTTGGTCACGATTTCAACTGTTGTTTGGATGCCCAGTCAAAACGCCGATCTGGGCGATGCTTTCCAACGCTTTGTGCATCCAAATCACCTGCCTACCAGGGGTGGTTTACCCCAATGTTCCGAGAAAGTGCTGTCAGGAAGCTCAGCAGAAGTGGCTGGAGGAGCAAGCAGCTGCACAAAGAGAAGAGGCTGCCAGACAGGAGGAGACTACCCACAGCTCGGGCGTGTGGACTGGCCTGGCCGGTGGCCGGCTGGCTCGCCATCGAAAAGTGGAGCCAGCCAAAGTGCCAGATTGTGAGCTGAGACTGATACTGTACTTGTCACCTCCTTTTCGATTGTCGTGCCGTAGCCGCCGGTTGCGGGAAGTCACCATGAGGGCAGCAGTTTCCAGTTGCACGCAGCGCTGCCCTCTCCACCTCTCTCGGAGATGAAACTCAGGAGGTTTCGTCGTAACGAGATGCCAAAAGCATTGGCCATGCCATGTTGATAGACCCAAAAAGATCCATGAAGATCAAAGCAGTTCCATTTCCACCCTGGCCAGCAAAGGCCCTGGCCCACTTTCGATTCTAGATCTCTTGCCATGGTGGCTTGCAGCTGCGATGACTTTGTTGAGTTGGGTGATCCTGTGGGGTGCTGCAGGCCGGATTCGGCATGATGACGCATGAAGTCCCATGTACTCTTGTTTGGGTAGACCGGTAGACCAGTCTTGTTTGGGTCGACCAGTCGTGACATATGGCAACACCGTCCCGACGACGGCATGGATCGACTCGTCCCGACGTCCGTGCCACGCGCGGTCGACGTCCGGGGGACGCTTCTGGGCGTAAGGCCGGGAGGTGCGTCTTCCTTTGGAATACCCGCGCTTCCACTCAGAGCAGCTCCTGTCTGCGAAGCAGTGAAGCTGGGCGGATGGATTTCGGAAGTGTTTGGATGCGATTGAAAGGTGGGGGGCAGGGGGACACACACAGCGCAGGTACTCAGCGCAGGTGTTATTGTATAGGTTTTTGATGGTTTTTGTTTAGTTTGTGGAATGGCTTTGCAATGCTCTTCCTGTCTTGTGAGGGGACTCATGTGACCAAAAAGCCTGGTAAAAGCTCTCAGTTTATCAACTTGATCCCACCAAATAATTAGTGGACGCTTGCTGTAAGCTCCTAGACTCACGAAGCCAAAATTGATAAAGATGTAAACAGTTTTGTCCAAGAAGTCAACACTTTTCAATTGACTTCCGAAAAAGGTCCAAGTCTTTAAACCAAGGCCGCACCCTCCGCCGCCGGGCCACCGGCGGCGCGGGCGCTTTGCGCTTCGGAGAGGCCTCGGTGGGCAGCGGCGCGGTGGGCTCGGCGGCGGTGGGCAGCGAGCGGCGGACGCTGGGCGTACGATGGGGGGAGATGGAACTGAAGGAGATGGGGAAGTCAAAGACTTCAAGAGAGAGGATAACATCTGAAGAGGTGTGAGGTGCAAAAGGTTTTGCATGGCTCAGCCAGATGCCGCTGTGAAGTAGGGAGGGCAGGTTGCAGCCGAGTCTCAACAGAACGTCATTGCTAACTGAGGTCCCGAAGGGCACAGTTTGCAGGAGTTCCAAAGGAGAGCCTTGACCGGCAGGGATGGTGGTGACATGCCAAATTGCAGCAACTGGGCACACCGAGAGTGTGAATGACAAAGGGTGAAACTCCTCAGGATCTGTCACACTTGTCTCATTCTTTTCTCCCATAACGAGTGGTGTGTCATTACCTTTGAGGAGCTTCTTCTACGGCCAGATTTATCACCGCTGCTGAGCCGCATGCAGCCGCATACAACACCCAAGTCTGAAGATTTCCAACTCCTGATGGCTGAATGGCTGAGATTCATCCACTAAAGACTAAACTTCTACTACACTGTCTCACTTTTTGAATGGCTGGTAATGTCTGTCACAAAGACTCCTCCCGCATCACGAGCACTATGCAAGGCCTTTGGCGCTTCATCAATGCTACAAACGAGCGGTTTTGGCGCTTTCCAGTGGCTCCAGGACTGATTGGTTGCTGGGAGTCCAGACAATCTGTGGAGTTCATGGGACGTAGCGTGACCACAAGATGCTAGCATGTTGTGCTGGTTGGACACCCCACCACATGCGGTTTGGATGGTTAAGGGTTTAGGGTTTAGGGCCGCATTCGGGTGGATGTTAGGCCCTTGTGAGGCTGTGCATGTAGCAGTTGGCGGAACCCTGCTACCGTAGCTGCAAGTGTCCTTCGCGTGCTTAGTGCCTAATGGAGCGACTGACTAACTATACCCTCCTTCCCGGGCTTGAAAACAGAGCTTCTGCAGTTCTCAGTGTCCATTGCTTCACAGATTCGCATGGATCAAGTGCCAGGATCCTTGGAGATCATGCAATATTCGATCTATGATTCCAAGGATTTGGGCCGCTGAGCTGCGCTGAGCTGGGCGGTGTGTGGGTGTGTATGCTTGGTCCTCCAAGCTGCCAGGCAGGTTTTCAACAGCTACAGGGCAGCTTCACTACTCTTAACCTTTAGGTGATGATGATGATGATGATGATGATGATGATGATCATCATCATCATCATCATCATCAGTTGCTTGAACTTTCACCACTGGCAGACATGTGCTACCAACTCTCGCAAAGTATGCCAGGCGTTTTTTTTGGTCAAAAGGATTACTGCAATAGACTATAAACATCTATCGACTAGAGAACATCAATCATCGCCGCCTGGTGGGATGGTTTCAAAAAGCTCTCTGGAGCAGGTACCTGCGGCTCAGGTACCTACAATTGGCATGAGGATGTTGGCTTTCACTCCGAGACTGTTGCGCGGGTACTCTCGGTAAGTGTGCAGGCCACTCTGCTGTGGGGGATGCCGCAAAGACTGCAATGCACATTAAAGTAACAACAATACAATCTGTTTTTGAGTTGCCAATAGCAATGGCCTCCACCCCAATGGCGATGGCCTCCAACCTAATAGCGATGGCCTTCAACCTAGTAGCGGCCTCCAACCCAAGTAAGAGAGAGATGGAGAGAGAGAGAGAAAGAGATAAAGAAAGAAAGAAAGAGATGGAGGAGCACAAGCGGCTGCATGGCCATGCACCGTACAGAGTCAGATTTGGTTTTGGAGGGTGTGATTTCAAGAATGCCGGGAGACCTGCCAGCGGCAAGTACATCATTTCAATTCATTTCAGACGATGTAAACACAGTGAGGTTCCAAAAGTCTAGGGAATGCTCCAGAGTCAGAGGTTGGTCGTTGGTGATTCACGACTTTCTGCGTGAGCTCCAAAGAGAAGCAACGGATTCTGAGCATCTTTGGTTCCAGGGAAAACCCGTCCTTTTCTGGGAAGCCCGGGACCTCAGCTCTCTCCCCTTTGCGCTCCCCTATGCCGGAGGTTTCCAGCGCAGAGAGCTACGATGGCGGAGAGCTGCAACTTCGTAGCTTAGCCACTGCGGGTCGAAGATCCGGAAAGTAGCAATGCCCTTGTTTCTAGTAGCTTCTTGTTCCTAGTAGTACGGCCAGGAGCCCCCAGTAGCGTCCTTGCTCCCCCTTATCCCACATGTTGGTCTCAATCACACATGAAATTGGTCAGTTTAGTGGTTGGTGTCCATTGTTATTGTATGTTCAGTCTTTCGCCAGACCTCGGAGGATCGCCAAATCTCAATGCTTGATATGTTTTTTTCAGGTATGGTTGAAACCACCAACCAGATGGATCCAACCAACAGCCTAAAGATATCTAAAGATGGACTTTGGGCCAGCTATCACTCCGCTCCTCTTTTCGAGGGCGACGCACTTCGCTGCCGCTCCTCATACCGCTGCGACTCCTCGCGCTTCGCATGGACCGTCCATGTACAGTTCTTGTTCTCGACCACCAAAGCTGACCAAGGAGGACCGAAGTGTAGAACAGAAAAGGATTTTGTCCATCATAAGTAGACCTTTCTTCCTTTACTTTTTTCATACCTTTTTCTTTGTTTCCCAATATAGCGACGTTCTCCAACCTAACAGCAAGACTCACTCAGACCACGGCCTTGTGGAGAGGTCACATGCAACTGGGTCCCCTCCCCGTCTTGACTTCGATCGGTTTCGTTCAGGTTATGGCGATCGTGTGGCCGCTCGGCGCCAGCTGGAGGAGACTCGTGACAGCGCCATCCAGAAAGTCAAAGGATGTCGAACGAAGGATTGGAGGGTGGCGGTGATGTTCCTACGATTTGTGTTTGGAGCGATTTGGGGTTTCCGGTTTTTCCCGGCTATTCCGGTGATTCCTGGGGTTCGTGTTTTTTCCAAGGGTGGATCTAAATGGATCTCAAAGGATTGATCATGGAGCATATGGATGTTGGAGCATCAAGGATGAAGGCCACTGAACTTGGACGTCTTAAAGAGGCCCAGGGTTCGCCCAAGGGACCCCAGCCCAAGGCTCTGAGAGCCCCCACACCGGTCCATCCTCTTGAGGTCAATGCTTCCAAGGAGGTGGGGACCGCCATCATCTTCCCGTCCCACGCAGCTTGGACTGTTTGATCTTAAGATTCGGCTCACTCATGTTAAGCCATGCCCGTGATCTTTGATTAGATGTGATATGTTTTTAGTTGCACTCTATCACATGATATCACCTGACCATAGTGGCAAACTCTGCAGAATTGATGTCACACTTCCAAGAGTGATGGTGTGCCTGCCTCACCCCCCCCCCTTTTGTCCGCAAATGTGGCCGGTGGCCTTTTGCTCCGGACATCTATCAAGTTATACTACTGTGAATTTCACCGATTGTGGCCAGGGTGTATTGCGTACAGTTGATGCACCGTCGCTGCTGTTTCGGCTGAACAGGGCCCTTGAGTCGATTCGCTGCTGCGAAAAGGAACCGTGCGAGATTCAAACTGGTAGCGGAGCAGGTTCTGAAGGGGCACCCTCAGGATCTGACTCACCCGGGGAGACTCGCTGGATCCAACCGTTGAACCCAATTGCGTGACCCTGCGCGCAATCCGTCGAACCGTTGTAATTCCAGTGCTTTGCGAAACTTGTTGAGTTGCGATGTCGCTGGCTGGCCTGCGGTGCACATCCCATGGAGGAAGTATCTCAGGACCACAGGAGACGAAGAGCGGATCATACATCTACAGTGGCGATCCAAATGGTTTCTTCGAATGGGAGTTTCGCACCAAGGTCCGCGTTGCTTTGTACAAGCAGAAACATGCGAAGAAGAAGTCGGAGAAGACCTATTCGAGTCATGGAAGCCAATCAGCCACACCAGAACGTTCTCAGAGGAGACCGACTCATGCGACCGAGG